AAGATGCTGGTTAACACATAAATGTGCAGTTTGGATGTCTGGAAACTCTTTTATCTGCTAAAAATGGATTTATTAACGATTATAAAAACGTAATTTATAATAGTAATAACTGTTGAAAAAGATGCACAATGTTGTTCAATCATCCCGATGCAATGTTTCCATAATGTTGGAGATTGTTTCTCATCTGATTTGTGGTTTCATTTAGGTTCATCTTCAGCTTTCATCAGGTTCAGATCTACTTCCTGTGTCTTTGGGCCTTTCAGATGGGACACGATCTTCAGCTCGGCGGGTAGCAGATACGCTCTTGCACGGCACAACACATAAACAATGAACGGGCTTGACAGCGGCACGCAGTGCAAACCGTGTCCTATCTGAAAGGCCCTTTGGTCATTATTTTCAAACCTTACTGTGTATCGGTACGTGTCAGAACACCACCACTGAGGCCTATATGTGAATAAATTACACCAACAAAAAGTCTCCCAACCAGAACCATTGGATTTTTCCATTGTTCTCGTTTCTGTTTTTGCCTTTCTGAATACATTCATGAGCTAAGACATCAACTCCTACTGCTGCTTCAGTAAGGCGTGACATTTTGTGTGAGCCTTTATCGTTCGTCCCAAGCAGCTCGTTGTGTCCCCTGCTGATTGTTTGATGACCTCCAGGATCACCTTGTTGTAGTGCATACATTCCCCCCCCCCCCCCCGCTCCCTCAGGGCAGCTTCCTTTTTGTTGTTGTGTCTGCTTAAAGGTCAAGGCTCCAGACATAAAGAGCATCATGTTGACTACATGTATTGTAAGATAAGAATATAGAGTAACATAGAAGGATATTGAGTGAAACAGTCTTTGTGGTGGACCGTGTTTGTGTGTCAGTGTGTTCATAACACTCTGGTGGAGAGTAAATGCTGAAACCGTACATGTTTTTTTCTCTTATTCTCCCAACAAAGACTGTTTTTTTTTTTTACAAACCTTGTCCTCTGATTGGCCAATTATTCATAGCAGTGGTCCCTCAATTGCATGCCATTGTTAGGAAGAACAATCCGTTGCTAAGAAAGGAAGATGGTTGCTAAGGACCCGCCTTTTATCACGTGTGGACTATCAAATAGATCCGCTGAAAGAAGTCCCGTTAATTTAACATTGGTGATTGCCAAAACTCAGAGGGGGGGGGGCGCCGATTGCCGAGTGGTTAGTGTGCAGGCCCCAGGCTATAGTCCTTAAAGCAACCGGCCCGGGGTTCAAATCCGACTTGAAGCTCCCTACCCCCATGTCAATCCCTTCTCTCTCTCTCTCCCTTTCTCCGATTTCTGACTCTATCCACTGTCCTGTTTCTAATATTAAGGTATAAAAAGCCCCAAAATTAATCTTGCAATGCAAAAACTGCAGGCTGTGACGGAGAAAATCGACAAAACTGAAGACAGCATTTGAAGTAACCTTGTAACAAAGTACTACGGGACACGACGTTGTTTAAAGTCTCAGTGCTGCTCGGACTGATGCAGATTTGTTCACTTCACTTTAATGTGAGTCATACGGCTAGTTCAGCTCATTTTAAATGAACCATTGCAAATGGACACGGCTCCTAATATAGACTCCATCTGACTATTCGGTCAATAATTTCCAGTCAATTACTGATGTCCTATGAGCAGCGGTGTGATAAATGACATCATGTATATTGAGCAGTTTGTTATCGCGGAGAAACCGCTTCAGAGTGACACAAGACCTTCCCGTTTCACGTCAGAGCCGTGGCCACCGTGTCTGCGTTCAATGCTGCGATAACAACCATCTCACTATACATCGACCTTTACATAACAAGCACACGCATGAACCCACTCGAACATCATCATCCCTTACGTAACAGCCCACTCACTATACTATATGAAAACATCATTCAAGACAATCAAAAGGATAACAGACAAGCATCTCTGTCACCTGTATTTATACTCCTCCATTCTTACACCAGCTGTGTCCCTGAATCCAAACAAATCAAACCAGCTCAAAGAACCAACACTGTTAAATATGATTTTCATTTTGGTTTTATGTGAAAATAATCTAAATTAACTTCAGCTTGTGAGAAAAACTGGCTAGTTGACTATTTCCTTCAAACACAAGCTGCTGTATTGAACACATTGAATTGTATTTTTGTGGCATTTTTAAACATTTACAATCTTCACAAATGAGAAATTATTCCTTTTGGAAAGAATTACAAACAGGGCTGATACAAGAAAAAGGTGAATAAATCATCTGCCTTTAAAACAAACAACATGAACCATTCAGGCTCAATTTAAACCCATTAAATTAATTTGAATGTGAATAAATGCTTTAAAAAGCCGAGCAGCTGAAATGAATTATTGCATTTAAATGAATAAAATTGATTTGTAATGGTGTGGAAAAACAAATAAAAGCTGAAGAATGGTCTGAATGTAATGAGCAGTGAGTGACACAGGGGTGTCATTACAGCCCCCCCCCCCACACCCTACCCCAACATGTTGGCTTTAGCCAGCATTAGATGAAGACACACACACACACACACACACACACACACATATTAGTATTCATGGACATGTTCATCACTGACAGAGCGAGCAGGGTTTCTGTGTCCACACTGGCAGCTCTGCTACTGAGAAGAGGAGCTTTACTAAAGAGGTTTAACACAACTCAACAGGGAGGCACAAAGTACACACACACACACACACACACACACACACACATATACACACAAGCACCCTCAAATGTTTGGACATGAGCTCAGCTGCTTGTAGAGCTTTCTTTTAGATGGAATGCAAGACCCACCTCCTCCTTTCATTTCAGTCTCCGTCTGTTTAATGTCATTCAAATGTTGGTATAAAAAAAACATGTCTTACATCAGGGGTTTCCAACAGGTAGCTCGGGAGCTACTGGTAGCCCACGGCAGGTTTTCAGTAGCTCGCCTACAGGTTGACCGACTGTGTTAAAAATAAAAATAAAAATCTGACGACGGTAAATGCACCTCTTCCCACAATTCATATACTTGGCCCATTAAAAACAAGTATGAAGTACTAATGTTTTCTTGGACATTGATGTGAATTTAAGATTATTGATAAGCATTGGCTTATTGCAATTTCACACATGTACAAACAGCAGCTTAATTCAGCTGAGCTATGTAAATGAAGCGATTTGCAAGCGATTTGATGCAAGTAGCCCTTGGCCACTTTCATTTTTTAAAAGTAGCTCTCAGATGAAAAAAGGTTGCAGACCCCTGTCTTACATCAACACTAAGCCAGACTTTTCCCATTTTTTGCACAAGCAATCCTGGCTTCGTTTTTCTACTGTACAACATATGAGGACATGTGTGGACAGAGGCAGAGTGTATTCTGTTTTCCACTTTGTATCATTGATCAGGGATGTGATTCTTTCAGATTCATGCAGAATTGCTCCTGCTTTGCTTTTTTTCATCCCATGCCGATCACATCCCTGATTTATGTATTAGCACATTTGCATTTTATGCATCTGTTTTGACTTTGAATCCTTTTTTTCAAACTTTTGAAAGTATTTTTGAATTTGCATTGTTTGTGAATTTGCAGCCCTTTTCTCCCAATCAAAATTATTCTGACTTTTGCAGCAACTTTGCCCCTCTGAGCCACCGTATATAAAGGCTTCAAAGATGAGCATTTCATAAACTCAACGAGAACCTGTCATAAATGTCATACACTTATACCTAGTTGGAAGAAGCTCAATGGTAATCAAATCAAGCGTTAGGAAGTCAATATCACTAACCAAGCAGCCGTCTGTCAAACACATAGAGTGACAACTCTGTTGATTAGATGAGAGACTAGGCGTCAAAAATGGTTAGGGCTACAATCATTTATTTGATGTTAGGAATGAAATTAAGTTCATCCCACCAACGTGCAATGTTCCTGCAATGTACTCACGTTGACATCAGACTGAGATAGCATCTGTGCTAAGTGGTGACTTGATTGGTTTGGGTTTCACTGGGCCCGCCTCAAACACAGCTTGCTCACCATAACTCTTACCAAGCGTTTCATCAGCACTGGGATCAAAGCATCAGGTCTGAAATCATCATATTCATGGGGGACATGGGGGACAGGCAGGAGGACCAGGCATGTGTTCGTTTATCTGGTCACAGATGACCGCAAATTGTTAAACTATCTGTGAAACTGCGGTGGCTTTGCAATCGGTGACATTTCTTAAAAAAACAGTCTCCACCTTTCTGTAGTCCATTGAGAAGCTACTGACCTAGCCATTGGATTTTTTTTTTCTTTCAAAATAAATAATATATACTCACCCAAAAGGTCAGGGGTCAAACCAAATCAAGTGTTATGCATAGATCCTCAAGAGCTTATTCATAAAATTCATAAAATTCATGTAAGTAATAGAAATGTCTGTCATGTTTTTCTTGTCTTCATACTGAATGTCTCCCTCTGGTTATCTCTGATTATACAGAACTTCATGAGAGTTATCTTCAGTGCATGAAAGTCATTGACTTGAATCCTATGGTTGGCGACAAAGTGAACCAAACCAAATTTGGTTTTAATTGAGTGGGTGCCAATTTTAAAAGCTGTTCTGAACTTACTCTGTTGGATTTTGCTGCATAGCTACAGATGTTATTATATGAAGTTCTATCACAGTTGTCTTGTATTTTGTTCTTCTTGGTGTCAAATTTATATAGTTTTCAATTGAGTTCTAAAAGCAGCAATAGTTTAAAATTCCCATGAAGAAAAGAAAAGGTCAGTTGTTTTGTACACTCTTCACCATCTGGAAACCAGCTCTAGATGTATTTCAGTTTGCATCCTAGTATTTGGAATTTCGTGCAGCATGCTGGGATGTAGTTTGGCTGATTTCAAAAAATTTTGCCAAGTCAGAAATCTTCACCAAATCATCGTAGCTGTTTTTCATTGAAACCATCACACAAATGATCTGTCATATGCAGGATACAGGGCTACAGTTACTTTGTGGTTTAGTTGACATTATTCTGCCTCCAGATGATATTTGACTGTTTTTCTTTGCAGCTGCAGAAGCATGATCGAGAAGAAGAGGACGTTCCCTCCAAGTGGAGATCAGAGGAGGAAATGGCTGCAGAAGCTTCAGACCTGAGGGAGCAGCTGGAGAAGTTCTAAATGGTAAAATAACAACTGAAATTACTAAAATGAATAATCCTAAATCAACCATGAGTTCTGGCCGTATTAATTGAGTTGATAGAATGAACACAGTTAATTTCCCACAATGGAAACTTATTTCATTTTTTCATTCCACATTATGTAGAAGAGTTTTATTTCTTTCTTTCTCCTATTTTTTGTTTAGAAAATTCATCATCGATTCCTAATTGTATTATTCATTTTTAATAACCTCCAGTGTTTGTGACTTTTTGATGCATTTTGGCTCATTTACATAGAAATGAGTGGATTTGTCCAGAGTGTTTATAATTGACATATGAGCAAATCTCTTTTCAGAGAGTCTCCACATGACACCAAACACATTTTTGCTTGATTCTCCACATTACATTCACAATAGCATTGCTGAAACTGCTTAATTCCCAGGCATTAAATCATCACACAGAGCATGACTGTCTCAGCATATAGAATAGTATTTTTATCTGATAGAAGATAAACGTTATCTATCGTACATTACACCCTTGGCAAACTCATCTGTTGATAACGTCAGGCATACATTGGGAAATATCAGGGCCCATTTTGACACCATTTTTGAGGCGTACGACTGATTTTTGAAGTCAGTTCAAGTTTCAGCCCGATCGCCCGTCGTTTGTCTCGCAGTGTACAGGGCATGTTTGAAACTGTGGTCATGCGGCTGCACGTACTAGCACAGTGAGAGCAGAGCCACAACACGGTTCCCCAATTCTTTTTTTCATTATTGCAACTATACACAAACCGTCATACAGCATTTGATAGCACCGTGGCAAAGCGTCTTCCCCCTCCTATCACCAAAAATACGAACAAGAGAAACGCTGGCAGGAAATGTCTGCAGACCTCCAGCTTCCAGGGATTATCGTCAAATGTTATTTTTTTAGCTTGCTAGTTAGCATTTGTTTTTTGGGGATGCTGAGTGCGCGGCTGTGAGAGAGAGGGTCATTGACTGTGTTTGTATTTTAGCCGTGCATATGAGATAGATCTAGACTTCAACTTCCATCTGCAGAAGTTTTCAGAGGAATCTTTACTGACGTTTCAGTGCTCCTTCCTGATTTCCAATGATTCTGTCGTACAGTGTTAGCATATAAACGGCGAGCTTTGGTCGTGCGCCGTAAATGATTCTGGTGAAGTGTGTGAGATGACATTCTACAACGACATGTTTAAATTCTATAACAGTGTTTGCCCGGCCTGAGTATGACAGAGCATGACATGTGCTATACATGAAAACTGAATTTTACAGTATTATGAATGTTTCTATTTTCTGAAAAATGTTCGACCCATGAACTGAAGCTCAGTTTACATTTCTGTGCAGGACGATGTTCAACATTTCATCTGCAGCGTGAGGACGACATTAACACCAAACATTAATGCATTAAGTTATGTTCACTTGAAGATAGTTTGGATTCATTTATTGTTTTTGTTACCTAACATTTTGATTGAATAAAAAGTGTTTGTTCACCACATACGACTCTTTGTAACAAACATTATTTAAAAGGGTTAAACGCTCAAATCAATGGTACATTAACAGGAAAATAATCAGTGCAACATAACTCTTGGAACCAATGAAATTCTAAAAAACAAAACAGTGAAATGGCAAAAATAACTAATTTTAAAAAGAAGTCATTTTATCAATGTAAAATTGTGTCATGCTGCGAAGCATCAGTGCCACCAAACGAACGAGAGGAAATTAGAGGTATTTAAGAGTCTGTTTCATATCCTATGCCAGCTCCTCTGAGCGAATCCAAAGGCATGCTGGGATATCTCCCAAAAGTTCACACAGAAGTCAGCTCTCAGAGCATCCCAGATCAAATGGGAGGCGTGAGGACGCTTGAGTTCATTTGGACTACTTGACTTTGAACTGGGACAGTGCATGGAGGTTTTCCCAAAGTGCTGCATTAAGCCGGCTGTTTAAAGTGCAGAGTTCAGTCAAATTTCACCGCAACAGTACAGACCCTGACTTCTAACAGACTTCAAAGTGAAGCTACCATGTCAGTGATGACTGTTTTCTGTCCATTCTGCTGATAATAGTTAAACAAAAAGCAACCTTATGGTCGTGGCTTCATCGATGCTGCACTAAGTTATTAGTTTTTAAGTAAATTAGCCAACAGCTGCTGCAGAAGAACAGAGTGAGACTGCACATAGCCCCTCTGTGGTAATCAAGCTGTAAAAGGCACCATGAATTTTAAACAATATTACCAAGGATGAGGGATTTTTAAAGGGCAATAATTAAGAGTCTTGGGGGAGCAAATCCATCAAATATTGGTCCTGAGCAGAAACGCTCGCCAGCACAAGAGAGTTTGAATCCACGTATATTCTTTCTCATGTTTCATTACAAACCACAGATGGACATTTTATGTTGGGACATTGGTAAAGGTAAGTACATGAAAGTGAAATGAAAGGCCTAGTCCATGTTGTTTGAAGACCTGAATCATTCCTCATTCACCTGACAGTTTTTTTGAATAAAGGTCAAGCGTCCTGTTTTACAGCCTGCCATTTCTATAAACCTCTCACACCATGGATTACAAGCACTTCTACCACTTTATATGGTTTTTATTGAAGTATTTCATAAAGACTTACGTTTAGTTATGACTGGCTTTTTTCAGAATTCTTCAATACTCAAGCTTTGGGCTCTTATTGTTCATTAACCTACAAGAAAACAACACAGCATGTCTTTTACTGACGAATGATTTAAGCCATAGACTGTAGACTGCAGGAGGAGCAGGAGGAGGAGAATGAGAAACAGGAGGAGGAGGAGGAACAGGAGGGGGAGGAGAAGGTGGAGGAGAAAAAGGAGAAGGCCACGAGCACAATGTCAGCAAATGTTGTAATTCATCATAAGGGCAGCGTATTGAACAGGCCAGCGGGTAATTAAAAGGGTTTCATTATTTCATGTTCAGTGATTTGGGCATCGAACATTCTAAAATGTTTTGTGTGGTCGAATAAACATTTGGTGCCGAGCACAGCGACCAATGGAATGGTAAACAAACTCGAAGAGCATCCCAACCACAGAGGGTCTATTCGGGCTCAGTTGGTAGAGTCGGTCGTCTCTTAACCAGAAGGTTGGGGGTTCGATCCCCAGCTCCTGCAGCTACATGTTCAATGTGTCCTTGGGCAAGACACTTAACCCAAAATTGCTCCTGCTGCTTCGTCTGCAGCGTATGAATGTGTATGAATGGGATTAGTTACTTCTGATGGTCACTCCAAGTAGCAGCCTCTACCATCAGTTTGTGAATGTGTAGGTGTGACCTGCATGACCTGTGGTGTAAAAAGTGCTCTGATTATTTAGAAGACTAGACTATACAAGCTCAAGTCCATTGACCATCCAAACTGGGGATGAGAAAACATGCTAATCATTTACATTTGGCGACAATCTGCCCGGTTTATTTTTCCCTTGTTTGGTTTAAAGAGTATGAAAACGATCTCCATATCACAACGTGATTGTCACAGTGGTCACAACCAGCAGAATTCTGATGGGATGGAATATATTTGAGAAGAATGGTCCTTATCCATCAAGTGGAGTTGTACGTGCTCAGAGAATCGGTGAAAAGTGGCTCTAAAGCTTTTTTCCATGGCTGCGCTTGAACCACTTGTTGAACACTTCATGGTGGGAAAGAGGTGTTTGAAATCTGCCCATCACACGTATCATTTACATCTTTCACTCCAGGCATTATAGTTACATGTACGTCATACTTATATATACATTAAGGTCACATGCAGCCATGGCTTGTCAGAAAACAATGACAGCTTTATGCTTTCTGTCTCGTGGAAAACACATGGATGAATCTGAAGCAGAGACAATCCATGGGGTAAATGTACAGTAATTAGTCGTAATCTATTCCAGCATTAAAAAAATGTGCTGATAAAATGTTAAAAATCAAACTTTAACCAGACTCTCTTCATTTCCTTGAGGCGTACAGGGGAGGGGGAATCTGTTAAATCCCACATCTATTTTCCGAGCTGAGTGAATTAATTAAACAGACATAATGTTGGTCAAGATAAGCGATGCTCCAAAGGTGCTGCGCGCCTGTGTTTGGTTATGCTACCGAGGAATTCAGGAGATTTTTTTAAAGTCTTTACATGGGCTGGCCTTGGCTATGAGTGCTCCAGATATAAATGTTGCCCCCATGAGCTCCTCTGTGTTGTTAGAGCCGCTCTCAAAGTGACACACTTTGCAGAATCAATTAAAAATACCAGCAGTACCGACCTCTGATTTAAAAGACGCACCGCCTTTAATGTGTCAACTCGTCTTTCCATTACTTAAAAAACATGATGAGAGCATTTCAGATTTTTTTATCCTTTGATGCAACGTGCGTTTTCTTTTCTGAGAAGGTCTGGAAATCAGCGTATTTGATCCAAACTTGAGGTAATAATAATTAGAATTCTGCAAGCCAAGTGTGCAGCGCAGCACACTGAAGTTTCTGTTGAAGACATTTGGATACCTATGAGAGGATGTGGACATCAGATGGAGAAAAAAATTAAATCAAACCCAATATAATATTATTTAGTATGCAACATTTGTTCTTTTCAGGGATTCTGAAAGTCCTGTTACCTCCTTATTTAATTAGATTTTTTTGTTTTCAAACTTTATAGAATACTGCTTTGGTGTACCACCCGTCTACATGTGGGCTGGGCCTGCGTCTTGCAGTCTAAAATCAGACTGAAGGTTCTTCCAAGCAAAATGTGCAGAAAACCTAAAACTCTCCTCCCTCACTCAGTACTCACTTTGGGAGCAACAAATTGTACAAAGTCCAATGAACGAAGATCGTGGATCTCATCCCTCAGAGTTTAAAGAGAGGAACGGTCGTCAGGAGTCATTCAAAGAAAAGCTTTGTAAATGCAGATATACCGATGTCTGAGCCGGCGTGTACTTAAAGCAGTCCAGTTGACTTTATTTACATGTAATGGGAAATTTCTGCATCTCACTTACAGACTCTGTGATCACGATATGCTGTTTTACTGTCAGGACACTTTGATATGAACTTAATATGAGATTAGATGGACTCTTAATGTGTCTGCTGTGACAGGATGACACGATTATCTGCAAACAGAGGCACCTCTAAAGAGGAAAACACTAAGGTGCAGGTGGCAAGAGTTAAACAATGAAAGAGGGAATATCTGTGACTCATTGATAGGAAACAGTTACATCTAAGGATTGTGTGACACTGCTTCAGAAAACAGATGTTCTGAATCTTTCTGAGAATGTGATTTCAGAGTCACTTTTCTGTCCTGCACTTATCCCATTAGAAAGGCCTGAATAAAACAAGTCGGTGGTGTTGAGCTCTCGTTGTTTATCAACACATGTTCACCCCCACAGCTCTCAAAATGAACGGCCTCCTGCTTATCTTTTGAAATATCAAGAATCAGAATCAGAATCAGGATTTATTGCCAAGTACATTTACACAAGGAATTTGACTTGGTGTATTGGTGCTAAACAATTAACAAGGAAATAAAGCAGAACTAGCAACAACTTGAATTATACAGTTTCAGTTTCAAGAAGTTTGAATGTTTAATGTCTGGTAATGACTCCATTCAAAAGTTAAAAAGCAAAACTACGTTCCAGATTAATTACAACAACAGCAGCAGCATGTGCAGTCGTTCTGGCTTTTTTAACAAGGATGAGACGCAAAAAACAAACAATTAGAAATGAAGCAGATTAATCAAACCCATTCATCTCACATAGTTCAAACACTGAGAGAGATATTCTTTTCTTTTTTAATGATTGTTTTTTTTTCGCATCAAACGACTATTTATTCTGATTTGAAGTCTTTAAACGTCCCTGTGAAAAGAAGAACTTACATTTCACCGGAGATTAAATGAACCTGTTGTGATTCAGACTGCTTCAGTTCAATCAGCGAGCAGCGTGCAGGAGGATTCCAACTTGATGACAACTGTCGTCTGCGTGCCAGAGGTGAGGATCGAGCCAAGCAAATTAAGTCGACACTTCAAACATGCAGGTTTTTCTTTTCTTCTAATTGAGCAATGTGAACTTGAAACTCTTTTTTTTTTTTAAATAGAGTTGGTGATCTTTAATCCGCAATCAAACACATGAAATCTTCAGTTTTCCAAAATGATAAGAAGAGGTGACGCTCTAAGTCTGTCACAGTCTGACCCCTTTTCAGGTGCAGGATTTCTCCAGGATGAAATGTTCTTAGTAACCGCTGGTTACAACATCTCACAAATGTGAAGGCCGTTTCCTCATCAAATCAAAATTTGTTGAGGATATTCAGTCGAAAACCTTTTGGGTTTTGGCAGATGTGCTGCTTGTCAACAAGGGACCCAGACCAGTAGAGGGCCCCAAAGCAGCTGGCTTTTAATTTTTATTGTTTTAACTCTTTATCTTTACTCTCTTATCTGAACTATTCATATTTTTGTTCATCTTTAACGTTTTAACTCATTTTTAACTCTTTAAATTTTTGTTTTAACTACATATTTTGTATTTGGTGTGCATTAGTCTCTACTTCTA